TGTTTATTGTGGCGAATGTAACTGAGCAGAACCCTCTGCTGCATGATGTAATACACAGAAGGGAGAAATCATCATAATAGCAGAGTAGTAGAGTGACTCATTCGCTGATGAGGTACAGTCACACTGTCATTCAACGAGGAGATGCAGTGGAAGCCCGATGGAGACAGAGAGAGAGAGAAAGAGGAAGAGGAAGACGGGGAGAGCATTAGCATGTTCCTTTTTTTTCTGGGAACGAGGAGTCATTTGTGCCAGGAAAGTGGAGAAACAACCTCTCGGCCCCGCAGTGATGCATCCCTCCATGAAGAATGAGATCACAAGCAAATGTCATCCCAACCTGAGCCGAGCCAAATGACCTTGAATCGAATAAAAAAAAAAAAAGAAAAAAAACATCTTCACCCACGTCAGTGTGTACACGAGTCGCACAAAATGTCAGCAGATTTTCCATTTGCTAAATCTGCTCCTAAGTGCAGGGGTTTAGCCAAGGTACTCAACCTAGTATTTTCCCTCAAGTCCTCGAGAATGCAGGCAGCAGCGCCTGGCGGAACTGTTGGTTACACCTACCTGTAGTTAGCTGTGCGCGTGGAGCTAAAGTTCAATTACCACAAAGTGAAGTGGCACAACATTTCCCCCACTCTGAGAGGAGCAACAATGGTTTAAAGAGAGAGCAGATGTGTGTGCGAAATTAACTTCACTTCCCTTCTGTGACTCTACAATTTCACTTGTTTGTTGCATTCAGTGCAGATGAAGCTTGGGGGATTTTTCAAAGGAAACTACTTTCACACTTGAAATACTTTTGAGCTTCAGTGCATTTTTTTTTCTCAGCTTACATAGTTGTGTTCACATAACAGATATATCTTTGAAAGCACACTGCATATTGATAGATACGGCGAATTTGTATGCCCTGTTATCAAAACTGACCTTTCGCTGTTTTTTCCCCCCCCCCTCTGTTCTCTGTCTGACACAACCGCCGTTGTATCATTTATTATGACAGTGCAGATTTAACCCAGCTTCCCTGCTGTATAATTCTCTCACTGCAAAGTTTGCACAGCCTAATAGACAAATAATACTGTTTGAATAATGAATGGTTAAAAATGAAGCACTGTTCTAATCCACAGAGACCTATTTCTTTTTATTAACTCACCCACTAGTGACTTGTAAGTCAACTGTAAGCCTACCTTTTATTAAATTCCACTCAAATGCTAATCCACACGAGGCTCTTACATGGAAAGACTTCTTAGCTGGTGAAATAAGCAACAGAAATGTAAGAGTTTGGCTTCTGCAGGTGAACATTTTTCAGCCAGTGGGTTTTACAAGTTTGATTTAGTGGAGTTCCCCCAACAAACTGATTAAGGCCAAGAAACAGAAATCTTCAAGCACCCGAAGTCCTGAAAGTGAAACTGCCATCTAACTTAAAATTAGTTGTAATTTTTATGAACATATCTGCTTTCTGGTGTAAGCAGGAATGAGTCCTCAAAAAATTTGGGATTTAATTGAGAGATTTTCGACCCCAAGATAAAACGTTGTGAGGCGTAATTTACGGTCAAACACAAACAGATTTTCTACTTGTTGTAACGATAAAGAGGCCTTTTTTAAACTTCTTTCTCGTACGCTCACAATGTCAAATGCCGGTTTCTTTCTTGAAATAATGTGACATTTATTATGTGCAATGCACCTTAAAAAAACAAAACTAATCAGTGAGAAGGAGAAAAAGTCACGGTTTAAGCTGGTTTCGTAAGTGTACACACCCTGAAACCTTTGGTTTAAATTCAGCATTCAGTCATACATTTTCCAGGAGGAAAATGCCAGCATTCTGCATCTTGACTTCGCGATATTTGCCAACTTCTGCGCTGCAAAGGTTCTCCAAATTCAACAGATTGCGAGGACGTCTCTAGGCTCCGGCCCTCTTCACGTGGCTTTGCATTCTGGACTTTGGCTCTTTAGTTTTTCTCTTTATGGAGTCAATTTTATGTGGATTGTTTTCAGACCAATGGTGAAAGAGACTTAAAATTAAAATTGTTCTGCAAAAAATGAGATAATTGGAACTGTTCATGATTACAAAAAACAAACAAAGCATTAAAAATCGAGAATGATCGGGAGGAAAGGAACCCCACAGTATCATGCTGCCACCACTGTGACTCACTGTGGGTATACTGTTCTATTAGTGATTCTCACTGTTGTTTGCATGCCAAACATAGTCATTGCCCAGAATTTCAAGTTTAGTTTCATATATATATATATATATATATATATATATATATATATATATATGTATATATATGTGTGTGTGTGTGTTTAGAACTCTAACAGACACACATATTTTTAGAGGTCTAAACATTTTCTTTGGTAGAAATGCCTCCCAACACTACCCCTTACACTAAAAATATGAAGAATACAGATCCTTCAAGAATTTGAAGGAGCTGCAAGTCTTGCTTTCGGCTTCCTGATAGTCACCCTGAACTGTTTCTGTCTAGTTTTTTATTTTATTTTACAGCGTCAGAGAACTGTCAATTTCTTTTGTAAATTCATAATTTTCCCCAAAATTTCTCCAATTATGGATGACTCTCTTCAGTGTGCCGTGTTTCTAAATGATGCAATAAAACTTTCTGCGCTCTTCTCCTGGTAAAGCCTTTGTGTAATGGAACACATCTGATCCTTTTCAACGCGTCTGCAAACTGCGGTGGCTTTAACTGCAGGACGCACATGTGAAAGAATCAAGAAAATCCAGCTAGGACAACTGAGCATTACCATAGATTACTCAGATTAAATGTAATGGATGGCGGGTGTGAACTCAGGAAGAGTGGATGCTGAAAATAAATCAGAAGGTGGTTTAGAAAAGTGTTATTTTAAGGGTGTGGACACCTATGCAGCAAGGTTACTGCCTGTTTTTATTTATTTTTTTGCATTTCCCCATCTAACTGGCTTGTTTGCTTTTTTGGTTGAAGTAAATGTCACATGACATGTGAAACAGGTTTTGAAATGGTTTGTGTTAGGTTCATTCTCTTACATGACAAAACAAACCCTGTGCTTTACTTGAGCCACTAACTTTTTGATATCAAGATAACCTCTTCTGTTGAAATACTGACATTAACGCTGCCGTAAAGCAGGAGTTGGGTTGAAACAGCCAACGGTCTGGGATTATTATTTTTTTTTACTTTGAAGTTTGCTAGTTTCTAGTTTACATCAGTAATTTTATAATATTCTGAATTTTACGTAAATAACGGGGATAGAGAACAAATCCTCAGTTTATACCTGCAGCCGATGGGGTCTTTTAAAAAGGGTTTGCTTGTTTATATGTTGCGAAAACAAAATATGAAAGCTAAAATTCTTTTAAATGTCACAGCTCAACTGTTGCTCTAAACAACAGTTGAGCTGTTTTTTTTTTTATTTTCTAAAAAAAAACAAAAAAAAACATTCATAATCACATGTTTACCTTTCTCGTTGAGCTGAAACTCTTAAAGTCTCTGTCACATGCAGGAGAAATTATACCAAAGCCAAAACGTCTTACAGTCGAGACGAAAGAAGATACCACCACCTTTACGTTTAGTCCCCAGCATTTATTGGCGTTCCTATTAAAGATGGTTAAAATGCCTTAAAACAAATCCATCTTCTATTAGAGTGGCATAATCTCACCATGAAACATTGGCATTTATGCTCCACATGTTTAGTTGATCAGAGTGACTATGCACTTCCATTTAGTATTCTTCCTGTTTCCTTGTTGCTTAAATATGACTTGGCACTGAGGCCTTTTTTTCCACTGACACTCAGGTAAAGCAGATCCATGTTGATCTTAACATTTTTGAAAATGGCTTCAAGAAAATAGCTGTCTACCTACACTTGCACAGATCTGCAGTTACAGCGATAGGCTTGTTGCGAAATGCAAGAACAACTGGAACAATGAAGGTGCCCTACATGTGGGGACTATTGTCTTTGACTCTGCTGTTTGGAGTTTGAAAGTGTTTAACAATGATGAATAAAGGGGAGTAGAGGATCATAAAATAACAACTGAAGATAGATAAAAATGGATGGGGGCCAAAGTCTTCCTAAAAGTCACAGTAAGATAATAAGGGAGGTTAAGACAAATCTCTAAAGCCTCTGTATGCATCTTTGCTAGGGATCCTGATAACTGTAGAGTGGATTGAAGTGTTCAGTTTTTTATAAATGTTTCCATTTCGTCTTTACCTCTAAATAATGACAGAGATGAATATTATACACATGAAGGGCAATTTTAGAACCTGATAAAGACCAGATCATTTATGTATTAAAATAATTAATAAAGGATGTATTTGCCTTTGCCATCATCACGTCCACAAACACTATCGGGTCTTTGAAACGCTTGTGAAAACACACTGTATGAGAACTATTCTCTTGACAGTTTTTATTTGTTTCAAATTTTAGATCTTTAAGTTGCTTCAATTCATTTGACAGTCAAAAATAATTATTTCATCTGTTCTAAGGATGCATTATTTTACATTAGAGCAACTCAAACTCAAATAGAGCATGCATAGGTAATTAAACTGCTAAAATATTAAAAACCATGTCCCTTTGTAAATGTGTGCAGATTAATCTCTGTTCTTTACAGAATAATAATTTTTTAAAAAAATGCATCTTTGGACAAACATTGAAATGATCATATGTGATGTTCAAAGTTTACCTTTTTATCCCACTGCGGATATAAAAACACGTTTGCATGGGAAAAACATGCACAAAATGTGTTCGGGTGCTCAAAATGCCACCTTTGGTCTAATTATAGCTGTCTCATTTAAATGCAGAGGAAACGTTCATGCATACCATATGAGTTATTTTCAGACAAGCCTTACATGCATCCCAAATCCATCCATTTGAAAAGTCTTCATCTTCATTGTGGAGATCTGTTTGAATTGCATGTGAATGTTTTAAAATGTATGCAAAAAGAAGCCCCCTGCAGACATTAAGTCCACATAAGTATTGCTGAACAGCATCAGTGCTCCATTTTAATTAGCAAATGAATAAAAAAGGAGAAATTGTGTGGGACTGAGGCTTATGGGGTTTTTATTAGACTTGAAGGTCGTGAAATGCCTTGTTTTCATTTTTAAATGCTTTGGTCACTTTGCAAAACCACAATGTCCCGTACAGAAAAGAACAGAGTATTCATCAAGAATTTACAGCCATGTCTATAAAAATGAAATAAAATCAAACAAACAAAGACATTTTAGAGATTACAACTGCAATGACAGTTGTCTTAAAATTTCGGAGACGTTTCCTGAAGACATTAAAGTCCATAATGCTCACTGTTACATTTAGAGGACAAAGGAGGAATCTTGCACACCTGAGAACATCATCTCAGCTCCGAAGTACTAAGGAGTGGCCGCATCAAGTTGTGTGGGTACTTTGCTGCAGCAGGGACTAGTGAACTTTAAAAAAAAATACAGATGTAAAAAAGTTAAGATCCTCCATTGAATTTTCAGTTCTTCATTAGAAAAAAATGATGTTTAATTTTGCCTTAGCTCCCTCTGGAAAAGAAAGTAATTTATCTGCTCTGCAAAATAAATAAATAAAAAAAATAACCTACCTTAACTAATTAAACAAAACATGATAAAATATTTCATCTTAAATTACCTTAAACAGGAAAGGCTAAATCAGACATTAAGAAAAAGTAATATCTGTCTGTGTGTATTTATAAAAAAAATTAATGGGATTTGATCCCGTATTGGACTGATAAAAATGTACCCATGTTATGAAAAAAAAAGTTCAACCACATAAAGATTTTTGTCATGTTTTGTCTAAAACAAATCTTCGTCTTGTAACTCACCGATCCGCCCCTCTTTCGTTGATAAAAATCTCAATTTAAGGACTTGAAATGAAAAAGAGCACAACACGGTCAACTCAAGCGCTGCACTTCCTCTCTGTTCGCTTTTCTTAGGTTCTGACCCGTTGAACACGAAGACACCTTAAGAATATCTCTCGGCGTGCTTGGCGAGAGGAACCACAACCAGAGAGAACCCGCGTCACTTCCCTTTTAACCTACAGGGTCATGGGAAAGCTTCCACTACCTCTTTCACAATTAAAATGAGTGCTTCAGGTTCGGGCTCTGACGCGACAGCACACACCTTGTCAAGTCTGAAGAAGGTGGCAACATCTGTCAGTCCGGTTTTCCAAATGAGTGTGTCTGCAAGTTTCGATATGAAAAACACTGATCACTGAAGCAGAGAGACACACACGGCGCACGAGCGACAACCTGCAAACTCTTTTCATCTAACCCCCTCCTCCAGGAGGATAGCTGCTCAAACGGACTAGGACTTGCATGTATGGCTACCGTAGCCATGTAGGTGTGTTTGCATGCGGGGTGGTCTTAAGACCGTTTTAAGAGCGACGTGAGCAGGCCCTGCGTTAATTAACTCTGGCAGGCCTGTGTTCCTCCTGGCAGTACGCAGGCAGGCATTCTTGCCTGGCTGCCCTCAGTGACGCCTGGTCAAAAATAGGGCACCACAGTAATGATCACAATGGTGACATCATCTTTGCCTTCAATGTGCTCTCCCCTCGGTGCTCGTCTGAACAAAGAGCAGCAGGCGTGCAGGGGAGGGAGGCAGATGTCACTTCGTGTCTGGGGAACATTAAGACCCAACAAATGTTCTTTGAATCCTTGGAAGATCCTTTTTAAGGGTTTCGTGTGGGCTAAAAAGAAAAAAAAAGAAAGAAAGAAAGAAAAAAAACCAAATAGTTCCTAATTGCTTTAAAGGCAATTAATTAGAAATGGGCTTCTGTTTTAGTTTGGATTCAGTTGTTTTTAAATAGCGCATAAGATTTGAGCATTTCAGGTAAAATGCCTGCAATTGAGGAATGCGCATGGTGAGAGGCGAGTGTCCGCAAATAGCTCGCAAGCGTGTTTAGATGGTGGCCCTCTAACATGTGATCTAAAGTGTTAACACATGTGGCCTTGTTTTTTTTTTTTCAGCATTGTTACTGATCTGCTCAGATGGATGCCCTCAAGTCTTGAAACAGACTTCACACACACACACACAGACGTATGGAGGACTTTTTCATTGTAAATGCATAAATGATTGACATTCAGTTTATGTATTTGGGAGATCATTAGAGTTTTACAACGCAAATCTGAAGATTTCCTGAATCTCACAGTCCATGAAGTCAATCGACAAAACCCGACACAATTTGTTTGAGACAATAGCAAGCAGATAATCTATGTAGGCTCGAGTCTGCTCTGATGTTTGGTGCTTTTAATCTGTTTTACCTAGCCTAAATAAATCCCACAGGAATGTTTGCTTCTATGCAGTCCTTCCTGGAAGTCTGTCTACTTCAAAACACTGCGTTTGTCTTGTAGTTCTCCCCCCTCTGAAATCCAGTAAAAGTCTGTAAAAGAGAAAGAGAGAGAGGGAGAGAGGAAGGGAGAACGAGAGGAAAGGGATTCTCAAGACCTGGACGAGCCGTGGGAAAAGAGGGGTCTTGTAGAGGAAAAGCAGAAATGTCTCAGGACATTCCTTTGTGATTACACAGCGCTAGACAAATCCAGACATTCTTGTACTCATTCCGTGTCTTATGGCTCGAGTTAAAGTCTCATTTGTGAACTCGTAAACATCCGTGTGTCTTTTTCTTGTGCAGATGTTGTTGGAGTTTTTTTAAACTTCTATTTAGATCTCTTTAAAGTTGAATAAACACAGCCTCAAGGAAACCTGAGGGTAGAAGACTAAGATCAATTTGCAATAATTATGTATTTCCTTTTTCCGAGCCGGGGAACTTTGATGTTGCACCACACCATCCTTTACAGCTGGAATAAAGGAAAAGAAGAAGAAGAAAAAAAAACAGCTCAAAGGGGCAGGCGGGTATCATATCCACAGGACCAACACAAGAAGATTCAAACAAGAGGAGGGCACTGTGTGCAAATCTCAGGTTACACGCCCGAGATCTTTGAAGAGTCAGCTGCCCCCAGTGGGAAGAGGCATGTTCCTCCCTTGTCGCAGCCACCATGAATGAGAAATGGCTCCAAGGAATGCTCCATTATCGTCCTATCTGAGGAACTGGGGGAGGGAAGAGAAGCTTGTAGTCTCCCTTCATTTGGCTGCGTGCAGAATCATGTGTTAGCAGGAGGAAAGGAGGTGGGGGTGTGAGGAGTGGGCACTGGCCTACAGACCCGCAACTGGGCTGAGCAGCCTCCTCCCCGGCTCACCAGACCTTGCACTTCCTCATTTGTCTAGGTCATACGTCCTTTTTGTCAGCAATTAATCTGCAGCTCCACCCTCCTATATTTACTCCCTTTCGCTCGCGGTTTCTCCTTCACCTCTTGTTCTCCCGGCCTTGGCTGGATTTACTCTTGGTTTGATCACTGTTCGCTGTTGTATCCCAGCTACTAATAATGGACGGCCGGCCACTTTAGATGCTACGTTTGAGCCGTGCACGAGGAGCATGCTGTTGACCTTCACGTTATTATGCATCCGCTGTGCGACAATGCTCCCTCTCTGCTCAAAATTGACCTTCCAGGACCCCCCCCCCTCCAACCCCACTCCCTCCTTTCCCTCCTTCACACACAGTTAACATGAATTCACTGTGTGTGATTGTGAATTAATCTTATTTGAGGATGCAAAATCGCAGCTTTAAAACTGAATGTGGGGGTTGGGGGGAGAAACAAGCTGCATGTATTTTCCCTGATCAATATCTCTTGGGATCTGCTAAATAAGATGCAAGTCAAACTTAAGTAAATCATAAAGAAAAAAAAAAATCCTAATCCTGGATTTACAGTTCTGATGCCTTTCAGAACAATTACACAAATCAATCTAATTAAACCTGTTGAAACTGGCTTTAATTGCCTCCCTGATTAAACAAACAGCAAGTTATAGCATGCAAATAACAATGCAGATCAAAAACCTGCGCAGGCACGAAACCGTAAACTTCAGCGCCCCTTAGTGGTCATTAGCTTCCTGTGACTTATCTAATGACGTCAGCCCTGGACAGTACACTCACACTCATGCTCACATTCCCACTGTGACTCTCTGTAAGTGGGTGTGTGTATGTATGTGTGTGTGCTTCTACCACTCATGTTGTGGGGACATAAATCAGTTTCCAGAGTCAGACTGTGGGGGATAAGTAGTGTTTACAGGGTTAAGAAATGTCTCAAAGACATATATGTTGGCTGATGTGGGCTCTTCTTGTGTGATGGAAACATGACTGCGCATAATACATCTGGTAATTTTCATGCAAAGAGTGATTAACATGAACTACACCAATAAATATACAATATACATACAAATACAAGGTTGGTTATGGCTACACGTATTACAGCCTGTTTGCATATGAATCATCTTTTCAAAACGTTCCTTGTGTTTAAAAGAGATGTGATCACTTTGTGTGTGTGTGTGTGTTTTTATCTCTATGCTTAGTGGCTGCATGAATGATGTCAAGGTTGCTCTGCAGTAATGTTTTGTAAATGGTTCAGGGTGCTTTGTTATAGGAAAAAAAAAAAACATGGATTCAAGACAGGGAAAATAGCTGAGCATGCCATCATTTTCACATTTTTCTTCCTTAATAAGTCTTGTAATTCTCCCATTGTGAATTTTGTTCCCATCATTCAATCTTCAGAGCTCCTCTTGTTGGTGTCTGTTAATAGTGTAATCAGGCTGTGGGTTAACATGATGTGAATGCATGAATGCCCACACATCCACAACCATCCACACCGTTTGCCACTTTCACGTTTCCACCACTATTCAATGTGCTGGATAGTTTCGTGGTTAACATGCTTAACTCCATTTAAACCAGTCCACTTTCATTTTCTCTTCCTTTGCTGGATAGAAAAACATCAAGCTCTCTTTCACTGATACACCATCCATAACACTGATAACAAACCATATGTTTCAGCATATTGATGGAGTTGTCAATTTTTTTTTTCCTTGAAATATCTCGAGAAAACACATAAGGAAGTGATAGAGCTCTGATGTGACAAGTTGTACTGTGTTCCACTGATAAATAATCGGGCCATTTGACTTGTTTTTGAATGCCAGTTTTATCTGTTTGAGTAAAATATCTGTTTTTTGTTGTTGTTGTACAGACAGTGGATAAAAAGTATCAGCATTTTCAGATAAGGGGTCAATCTGGGTAATTTCAGAAGAATTACATTTTAAGAAAATGACAGCAGAGATGATTTACAGTATTGTTTTTAGTTAGTTTAAAGAATACATCTTTTTTTATCATAAATACTAAGTTTTTTATGTGTAGTACCACCATATTAGTTAAGATAGCTGCTTCAAGCAAATGTTTTAACAGTTAATAAATAGATACATTTATAAAGTTGTTCTTTGTTAATCTGCTTTTGGCTAATTTTCCCTGGGATAAACTGTAGCTGAAACCTAAAGAGTAACCAGAGAAAAGCTTTAACTTAATTTGTACATGCAAACTTTAATATGTATTTTTCAAAGCCAGCCTTTACGCACACTGAATAAATAACACATAACATTTCCCCCCTCCGCTGTTGAATCAGGCCAAACGTATCTTGTTTTAGGTCAGTTAGAATTAGTCAAATTGTTTCTATTTGCTAAATGCCACAAGAATGAAACACAATTTTAGGTTACCTTCTTTCCAATTATGTCTAATATCTTCTTTTTAAAAAAAAAACTGACGTCATTACTGGCTCATTATATAGTTTTGCATGCAAAAGGGCATCACCCAGTTTAATTGATTCTGCTTACCTTTCTTATCTCAGTTGCCAGAGAAACCTGTAATACCACCATGTAAAATTCAGCAGTTATGTCTTTAGGAAAAAATAAATTCTAACATATGGTCAAATTCTGACAAATTGGTGTATTCCTTTAAATCCAGTATAATTTTTTTCCCCCCACATAACGCAACACAAATTTTTAAAAGTATCCTAAAATGGAAAAAAAAAAAAAAAAAAAAAAAAATGTTCAATATATTCATGGAAAACAACACGCAACTTTAAGAAATGCCATTAAGTGAAGATGTAGTTTTGCTCAGTGCCACTCAGTACCACACATCAGTGACAGTTATCAGGGACACCAGATTGGTTTCACATATCTCAGATGATTTATGCATTCATAGGTTATACATTTGCATACAAAAAGATATGATTCCGAGTTTTATCTTTTCCTATTTACTACTTTATTATGTACAGATAAGTATGCAAATTGGATTATTTTATGTACACATATTTCTGCTGTGCCGCTGTGTCTGTTAGTGTTATTATATTTCAGCAGGACATCCATACACATGCATTCAATGTTATGTTTTGCTGTATTACTCATGGACTAAAAACTTGCAGCACCATTGATTAGTAATTTATGGTACATGTAGCCGTTCCCAGAGAGAACAGATAAGCATTCGCTATTGTTTTGATGCTGTTTATTGGTTTTTTTCACTTGATTTATTCCACATATCTACTTCATTTGCAGTACCTCGGAAAAGTATTTCTACATTTTGTTATGTGTGAAACTGCAAACTTGTGGGTATTTCAGTGGGACTTAATGAAATAGAACAAAACAAAGAGCATATAGTTTTCAGGGGTTTGTTTATTTGTTTGTTTGTTTTTAACAAATGAATATCTAAAAACTGCCAACACATGGCTCTCTCAAACTGACAAGCCAGGGAAGGAGAGCATTACACAGAGAAACAGCCAAGAAGCTGATGCTAACTCTGGAGGAGCTTCAGAGATGTACAACTCAGGTGGTAAAATCTACACTAGAAATTTTGAACTCCAAAATTCTGGCCTTTATTGAAGTTTCGGCAGAAGAATGCCATAGTAAGTCCTATTAGCAGGTCACCGCAAGCAG